ACACCTCTTAAAGTTGACCAGGTTGAGAATACACACTGATCCAACAGATACAAGGCAACTGAAGAGGAAGGAATATAGTTTGAGAAGACTTGACTTAGGCAGAATGAGTAAATCAATCATTCAAATACCCTAAGCAAGTATCTATTGCCAATCACCCACAGTCACTGGGTGAGACAGGCAGGGTAAAAATTTAATAAACAAACAAATAGATAAATAAATAAAATTAGGGTTATACCCTGCAATGGCCATCAGGGGTCATACTACATTTCTTCTGGGGAAAGGGCCAATCCACAGCCTGACATATGTCTCTCTTTGACGCTTAGCATCCAAATCTAGGCAGATTAATTTCCCCTTTTATGCAAGAGGATGAAAGCAACTCAGCACAAACACAGTGATAAATAGGGCAGCTGGGGTCTAACTCACCGCCCAACTGAAGCAACCGAACGAAACAGCCTCAGGTGGGGAATTTCCAAAAAAGTCATGGGAGATTTATTGCCCACTCACTCGGTCGGTGTAGGCCAAGAGGAATCTGGGCACTGGGCTTAAGGCAGATTTAAAGTGAGCAAAGGAGCCAATTTGGGGCAATTTAGTCAAGAGCCCAAAAGACATTCATTTCCTTTTGAGCTACTTGCTTTTGAGGTTCCTGGGAGGTTCCTGTGAAATTAGTCACCAAATTCAAAACCATAAATTTAGAGCCTTGTAAAAGGAACTTTACAACTAAAGAATCCATGCATTAAAAAAAAAAAACAGGCATGGGCATTATAGTTGAAAACCATTAAATAATGGCAGAACACAATCACTTCAAAGGCAGAACTCAACCAAAAACTAACCCAACTGGGGATAACTTTGCCAACTTTCACATGAAAAAGGAAATCTGGCAAAACATAACACGGGCAGAAAAATAATTATTCCTGAGATTGGATGGAGCCAATAATCTGAAGAAACTGGTGTGACTTTTTTTTTTTCATTCTAGACTCATCTCATTTACATTCAGAAATTTAGGCATAAACCCATTTACGAATGGAACAGATACATGTGTGAAAGTTGCTATAATAATAAGCAAAGCCTTTTGCATAACAAAGTCTGGATATCTAATAACTAACAGAATAATACTTGTGATTTTTCTGAATTCAAATTCTCCCCAAATGATAAAATAATAAGCAGGCTTTTAGTGTAGGAATCCCCCCATTTGGTAATACAAAATGTTATTTGGATATTATACCGTTGGTCAGCATTCTTGCCTACATTCTTGCTTTCTTCTACAGGACAACATGGACCACCAGTGGTCCCTATCCATCAATCGCTCAATCCTAAACTCAATGATTTTCTCAAACATGAATTCAATTATATAGTTTAGCAAACATCTATTGAACCTCTGAGGGCCCTTCATGAATATTCTTTTTTTTTTCCACCTCCACATATAAAGGGAAATTTAAAAAAATAACCTAGCAATGAAACACTGAAAACAACTTCTACCTCTAAATGCATACCTTTTAATCAGCTTTGACTTTCCAATAATAAATAATCTTGAGTTTGGGGAAAATCAGTTTGATGAGAATTATCATTCTCATCTACAGTATTTACTGATAGTGATATTCACAGGTACCACCAGCAATCTTTACTGTCAAATCATCACGAGCTTCAGACACAAAATCCAGTTGGCTTTCCTTCTTGCTATTTTTTAAAAAGTAATATTTTAAGCTATGTATATTTGTTCTGCTTACTTTAATCTGTGCATGAGTGTGCATATGAATGTTGCCATGATTAATAAAAACATAACGATGATCAACCTTTTGTATAAAAAAAACCAAATGTCTTACCTGCAGTGTTTGTGAGATCCTGTTAGAGTTTCAATGACAAAGCATTCGCCTTCGTGAAGACAGTATGCAAGATCCTTATCCTTGCATGGCTTAAAGTGCTCAGATTGTTCAATGGAATATGTTGTGGTATCTAGAGAAGAAGGAAAAAACAGAATGAAAGAAAAACACATTTTAATACAATGGATATTATTCCCACTGGCCATCAACTTTTACTTTTAAAAGACTCAGCTAGGAGGGTTGGGTTGAAATTGAAATTCATCAGCATTCATCTAGATTTCAGAATAATTACTGTATTTGGAGATGCCAACCAGTTACAAATCCATCTGGTAGTGATACTATCTATCTCATTTTTTTTTCTAGCTTGCCAAGAAGTAGGTTGAGGTCTACTTTGTTGAATGCCTTGCTGAAGTCTAAGTATATTATGTCCATAGTATTTCACTGGTCTACCAATTTAGTCACCATGTTGAAGAATGAAATAATATGGGATTGGCATGAGATGCATTGCTATTTTTATTTATTTATTTATTTAGACAATCACTTACAAGATAACAGGTATAAGTAAGTATAAACATAGTTATGAATCCATGAAATGGATACGTATAACAAAAATAAAAAGAAACAATAGGACAGGGGTGGTAGGCACGTTGGTACGCTTATGCACACCCCCTACAGACCTCTTAGGAAAGGGGTGAGGTCAATAGTAGACAGTCTAAGGTTAATGTTTGTGGGGTTTGGGGATATATTAAGGATATACCCTCAGGTCTATGGAAAGAAATAGGAGATTCTAATTTTCCTTGATCGCAGTTCCTAGTACAGATTCCATAATGTTTCTTGAAGCATCGTAGAACATAGAACAATAGAGTTGGAAGGGACAAGGAAGGTCTTCTAGTCCTTGCTTAGGCAAGAGACCCAGACAAATGGCTATCCAGGCTCTTCTTAAGAACCTCCACTGATAGAGCACCCATAGCTTTTTGAGGCAAGCCATTCCACCAGTGAATTGTTCTCATTGATTATTGTTCTCATTATGTAGTTAAGAAACAGAGAGATGGTTAGGTCAACATCAGTCACTGGCTCTGAAAGCATGGTGGGGAAGTGGAACAGGAAAAGCTGGCATCTACTAAAGTTGGAGCACTCAGCTGGTATTGTCTACTCTCTGAAGTTTGAATCTTCCTGAAGTTTCACATTGAATAAGATGTCTGGCTCTTTCACATTTAATGCATGAGCTATTACACTCATCATCTCCTCATTTTCATCTCTATCAATCAGAATGTGAATTTTCCAGGTAGAATCATGAAATATAAGACAACTTGAGAGGGTTTCCTATTATTGGAAGGAATCTTATTGGATGTCAGCTGCATAATAATTAACTCTGGGTTGATTTCTAAGGCAGCAGAGATGTCATCTTTTGAAACTCAGTAGGTATTGATGCCAAATCCTAGAGACATGCTTAAAATGAGTCATTAAGATTCTAACTGATTCCATCTCATCTTCACCTATTAATTTTATATTTACAGTTTCCATCTGGCTGACAACTGTCATGGATTTCATTATTTCCTGGTTGGAGAGACCCTTCTTTTCTCTGCTAAGCATTCCTGAATCATGACTTCTTCTATATTCCCAAAATCGGAAGCAATTATTTCCATTAAAACATTAATATGCTGGGTTTCTCCTTGCTTCCATTCCCACCAACAAAAATGAATTAGGTTTGAAGATATTGGGATAATATATAAATATTACTGGATGATAGGTAGGTAGGTAGGTAGGTAGATAGGTAGGTAGGTAGGTAGATAGATAGATAGATAGATAGATAGATAGATAGATAGATAGATAGATACAACATGCTTTCATAATTGGAATAGGATGGAAAGGAAAAAAAAACCTCTCTGAAAATTATTTACTTTGAACTTTCTTATTCTAAGTTTTGCAGCCTCAGAACAGTTTCATTGTGTATGTCTCAGTGAGAGCTGGCCTGATCATCATTCTCTATTAAATCAATATTATTCTTCAGGTTGAAATAGCCTTTAATTATCCTTTATCCAAACACCACGGTGCCAAATGTTGATACATTGCATTCTAATTTTAAAGCAGATCTTTTATACCACTGCATAGATAAAATACAGTACAATGATGGTCCCATTTAATTCGATTACATTTCCTCCAACAGCTTTTTTTGATAGATACTCTACTCATCGAAGAGAATATTGCAGTTCAGGGTTGAAATGTGCTTTCTGAGCTTGATGTTTTTCCTGTAGACATTTTATTATTAAACTCGGCAACATCATCAGTGCACTGAGGATGTTACCTAGTTTGGTAATGAAACGTCTGCAAGAAAAACGCCAAGCTCAGAGAGCCCCAAAGACCCCACAGATATTCTATGATATTTCTGGAGAAAAGGAGATGATGGAAACTCAGCTCCTGGCTATAAGAGATTGCTCCAAACATTGGAAGCTCCACTATTGGCAACTTTCTCTAGAATTCCTTCAAATATAATGCAGTGCATTCTGTTCTAGAGACAATCAACCAGACATCCACTGGAGATGAGCGAAAGATTAAGCATTAAAGTTCAATAAAAGTTATTTATTAAGAAAGTGAAATTGCCAGCACCTTATTTTAAAACTATGCTTTATAAAGTGGAAAAAGGCAGAGGAACAAATGAACCTGAAATGTATTGGGACTTTCTCTCTTTATCCTTTTATGAGTTCTTAGAATCAGCTTTTCACTATTACTGCAGATGAATGTGGTTTCTTGTGGAGATGGATGGATGGATATAATTTCTTTTCTCCGTTAAATGTGCTCAGAGCAGATTTGAGCTAATCCACTAAATAAAACTAGGAACAAAAAGTAAGATGACTGGGTAGTTCATGAGTAATGCTCATCCTCAGATTTCCTTCAGTTCCCCAACCTTTGTGGCCTCTTCCAAGGGCTGTATAAAATTGATAGGCAAGCTCATCAGCCTTAGCTTGAAATCTCTCTCGGTGTGTCAGTATTTAATTCTGAGCATTATAGTGTGTGTTGTTGTTCCTATAGCACTTGCTAGGAAGAATCAATAAAGTGAATATAATAATGTAAGTCCTTGACTTATGACAACAAGCGAGTCCAAAAATTTCCATTGCTAAGCAAAATGTCAGGTTTAGAAGCCATTTTTCAATCGGAAGCTTTGAGGCTGCCACATTCAGTGCCTGGGAATTTGGGGGGGGGGATTTCATAGTGAGGTGGAAGACTAGATATAAAAACATTCTTTCTCAGAGAGTCAAGGACATGTTGCTCTGCACCTGGAGGGGAGTGACTGGAGGAAGGTCTCCAGTTGGGAAGAAGATTTGGTTGTGCCGTGTGATGGACTGGTGGGTGCAGGGGATAGGTCTTTGATTTCTCTTTTGGGAAGGGAAAAACTGGAACTTTCAGATTCAGAGTTTCCCAGATGTGCCAGTATGACAACTCTCATAAATTGGAACATTGAGGGATTGTTTGTCTCAAAATTTATTGGTTTGGGGTTGGTTAGTTGGAACCAGGGGTGGGATTCTACCAGTTTTCACCTATTTGCTAGAACTGGTTGTTAACATTCTAAGCAGTTCGGAGAACCGGTTGTTAGAAGAAATTACTGACCTAATCCTGTAAGGAAGGCAGGAAGGAAACATTCTGGTGTTGCTTACAGAAACTGCCTCTCCGTTAATCCTTATTACATTCTTGGCAGGACTAGACTTCCCGTCTCAGAAACTTCTCTGGAGTTTTTTTTCCCCCCTTTGCTGGTGCTTTGCTTGCGTGGAGTGACCATTCAAAGTTACAATGGCACTGAAAAAAGTGACATGACCATTTTTCACACTTACGATGGATGCAACATCCCCACAGTCATGAGAGGCCAGGTGAGGAGATGCGCGCATCAATGTGAGTGATATTGAGTTGGCCACACCCAGCCAATAACATGACCACTAAGTCACGTCCACCCAGTCACATGACCACCAAACCATGCCCACCAACTAAGCCATGCCCACAGAACCGGTTGTTAAAAAATGTAAATGCCACCCTGGTTGGAACGCTGACACGAGGCAGTTGTTAATCAAATCATTTTGTGACAACTGCAGCTGCTAAGCTAGTAACACAGTTGTTAGCATAGCTTCCCCTTTGACTTTGCTTGTCAGAAGGTCACCAAAGGGGATCCCCTGACCCAAGGACACTGCAACAGTCACAAGTACATGCCAGTTGCCAAGCATCTGAATTTTGATCACGTGATCACAGGGGATGCTGCAATGGTTGGAAAGGTGAAAAACGGTCATAAGTCACTTTTTTTTCAGTTCTGTTGTAACTTAGGTCACTCTAGCTTCTTTATGTTTTTAATTTATATAGGGTTTTTTTTTAAATCTTTTATTATTGTTAGCCGCCCAGAGTCACCTTGAGGTAAGATGGGAGGGCTATAAATGTTGCAAATAATGGAATAAACAACAAACTCCTTGAGTTTAAGCCAATTCCACTTGTGTGGTTGCCATCCTGTTTTGGATATTCCACTTTTTTTAATGAATATCACACTTTTATCACTAGTTTCTCATGGGTTCTTTTAACTAGGCCCAGTTTAGTGGGTTCCAAGCACAAAAGAACCAACTACACCACAGGTCCCTAGACACAGACAGACAGACAGACACATAGAAATCTTTGCAGCTTCTACTCCCTACTCCTACTCACTACTCCACTTTTCCCCACTGCTATTCCAATATCCTATACCATTCCAGACAAATGGCTTTCCAGTCTCTTCTCTAAAACCTCCAGTGATGAAGCACTCACAACTTCTGTAGGGAAGTCATTCCACTTATTAATTATCCTCAATGTCAGGAAATTTCTGCTTGGCCTTCAGGTGTTTTGGAAAATAGGTCAACTTTCCCCTTTTTTTATGGGGCGGGGGGCAACCCTTTAGATATTGGAAGACTCCTATCATGTCACCCTTAGTCTCCCGTTTCTCTCTAGTGCCTAAACAACAAGACCAAACTGGCTCTAACTGATATCAATAGGAATCCAGGCTACAATTGTCACCCTCACATTCCTTTTTCTTCTACTTGAGGTTCAAACATGATTCACACCACCGTACTAACATTTTAAATATTAAATCACAACACAAGAACTGATCCCTGAGACTAAATGACTGACGTATCTCCATTATTCATCCCATAAATATTAATCTTGGTTCTCAGTCTTCCCCTTCAATATGCAACAAACATTAAAGGAGAAAATTGTGCTAACACAAACAGAGGGTATGTAATGCCACAAGGGGAAAAAAAAGCACAGGTCTGAAAATATAGCTAGGTAATAACACTTCCCATGTTTTAGATGTGTGGCATTTACCACTGGAGACACAAACATATCAGCTTATCGCTGAATACAAATGATCACATTTTTAGCAACAGAAAAATGCGAACAATTTCCTCTTGTATTTATTTATCCATCTCTATGCAAATTACTTAATGAAGTTCAAAATGGCCCAAATCCATAGAAGAGGAACTGAAGAAGCATCACATTCGAATCAAAAAGACACATTGATCACCCCAATACAACTTTACCTGTACTGCAGTTCTTAAATTAGTAATACATTTGTAAAACAAATCTGGCTTCCCCCATTGACTTTGCTGGTCAGAAGGTGGCAAAAGCATCTGAATTGTGACCACAAGGATGCTGCATAAGAGTGAAAAAGTCACACTAGTGACTTATAAGTCTTCCCCGCCTTCCCATGCCGTTGTAACTTTGAACAGTCCTTAAACCAATGGTTGTAAATTAAAGTCTTACCATAACCTCTTTTTGGCCACTTGGGTTGATTAAATCAACTCACTTTTAGGACAAAGAAATAATAACTTTAATTAAGCGATTGAAATATAAATTCCTAGTATATGTATATCATTGTCACCTTGGTCAATTCTTAAGAACTTTAATTTCTTCGTAACCCCCCCTCCCCCCAGAAATACAAGAAGAAACTCAACTGAAATATAACTTTGTCTAGTTTCATCTACAGTCTGGAAAATTGCACCAATCTTAGTAATAGTGGTTGGCTTATTCATATAGAGTTCATGTGGGGTTTGGATGTTGCCTTGCACATAAGTTGTACTTCATACCTGTGAAATGTGTGAAAAATACACATTCAGGGCTACAAGCACCCTTCTCTATTTTTATTTCTCTTTTTTTCCATGCTGTATCATGACTGACGAAGGACAAAATCGGGAATATTGAAGGAAATACATTTTTACCATGTTCTTGAAAATATTTAAATATTTCCTTCTTTCACAACATATAGGCAGAAGGCATTGCAAATGTGAACTCCTTTTGCATGATTCTTTCAGAAAAGCACATTTGGCAATTTCCATTTTTGTTTTCTACCTATTTTTGGTTAAAATGATGGATTCACTTCCAAAACATTTTTTTTTTATCATTGATATTGTTAGCTGTTGCTTTAGCAATACGGATTGGTTTTAAATATTATTAAAGATACTTTGAAAGCTGTCTTGGGACATCTTTATTTTGACAGGTTGTATACAGGTGAAACTCGAAAAATTAGAATATCATGCAAAAGTCCATTTATTTCAGTAATGCAACTTAAAAAGTGAATCTAATATATGAGATAGACTCATTACATGCAAAGCAAGATAGTTCAAGCTGTGACTTGTCAAAATTGTGATGATTATAGCTTACAGCTCATGAAAATCCCAAATCCACAATCTCAGAAAATTAGAATATTACATACAATCAATAAAACAAGGATTGTACATAGAACAATATTGGACCTCTGAAAAGTATAAGCATGCATATGTACTCAGTACTTGGTTTGGGCCCCTTTTGCAGCAATTACTGCCTCGATGTGGCATGACATGGAAGCTATCAGCCTGTGGCACTGCTGAGGTGTTATAGAAGACAAGGATGTTTCAATAGTGGCCTTCAGCTCTTCTGCATTGTTCGGTCTCACGTCTCTCATCTTTTTCTTGGCAATGCCCCATAGATTCTCTATGGGGTTGAGGTCAGGCAAGTTTGCTAGCCAATCAAGCACATTAATCCCATGGTCATTGAACCAGGTTTTGGTGCTTTTGGCAGTGTGGGCAGGTGCCAAGTCCTACTGGAAAATGAAGGCAGCATCCCCATAAAGCTCATCTGTGGAAGGAAGCATGAAGTGCTCCAAAATCTCCTGGTAAATGACTGCATTGACCGTGGACTTAATGAAGCACAGTGGACCAACATCAGCAGATGACATGGCTCTCCAAATCAACACAGACTGTGGAAACTTCACACTGGACTTCAAGCATCTTGCAGTGTGTGCCTCTCCATTCTTCCTCCAGATTCTGGGTCCTTGGTTTCCAACTGAGATGCAAAAGTTGCTGTCGTCAGAAAAGAGGACTTTGGACCACTGAACAACAGACCAGTTCTGTTTTTCTTTAGCTCAGGTAAGATGCTTCTGACGTTTATTGCTCAGGAGCGGCTTGACAAGAGGAATACAACATTGGAAGCCCATGTCCAGGATCCGTGTGTGTGTGGTGGCTCTTGATGCACCTTGTGAAGATCCCCAACACTTTTGAATGGCCTTTTCCTGACAATCCTCTCCAGGCTGCGGTCATCCCTTCTCCTTGTGCACCTTTTTTTCCCATACTTTCCCCTTCCACATAACTTTCTATTAATGTGCTTTGATACAGTGCTTTGGGAACATCCAACTTCTTTTGCAATTACCTTTTGAGGCTTTTCCTCCTTATGGAGGGTGTCAGTGATGGTTTTCTGCACAACTGTCAGATCAGCAGTCTTTCCCATGATTGTGATTCCTACTGAACCAGACTGAGAGACCATTTAAAGGCTCTGGAACCCTTTGCAGGTGTTATGGCTTAATTAGCTGATAAGAGTGGGAAACTTTAAGCCTAGAACATTGAACCTTTTCCCAATATTCTAATTTTCTGAGATTGTGGATTTGGGGTTTTCATGAGCTGTAAGCCATAATCATCTCAATTATGACACATCACTGCTTGAACTATCTTGCTTTGCTTATAATGAGTCTATCTCATATATTAGTTTCCCCTTTTAAATTGCATTACTGAAATAAATGAACTTTTGCACGCTATTCTAATTTTACGAGTTTCATCTGTATAAGGCTTTCAGTAAATGAAGGAACATATTCTGGGAAAAATCATTTTCTTATAGCATTGTTCCTATTGATATTCTGCATTTTCTCATAGATGCTCTTACCTCCCATCATTTTAAGCCATTATTCTGTATAATTTCATCTCAAATATATCTTTCCATGATTTCCAAATCGTCAACATAAAAGTGAGACATACCTAAATCTTCCTAAGTATCTTTCTTTCTTACTTATTTCTTTAGCCAATATAGAGAGAGAAAGCCATCCATCTCACAAGGAATTCTGGGTGGTGTACAACAGAGCTAAAACAGTGAATAAATACATTTATTATTTATTATCAGTTTATATTAATCCATTAGTATAAAAACCTTCCTATAGCTAGATGTCTTTGAAGGCTGTCAGCACACCTGTCTGTTAGGATGGAAGAAGCATCTTGGATGAGAAGCAAAACATTTTCAAACAACATTTCCTAGTTGCCTTTTGGAAAAAGCACCTTTGGGACTTCCTAGAGCTGCAAAGTTTACTTAATTTTGTTTTACCTCTTAAGGAAAATAGCAGGCTGGCTTTGCAATCAGGGATAACCTAAGGATCACTATTGCTCCCCAATCCAACTGGAATGGAAGGGATGCTTTGTTTCTTCTTAATTAGTTGGCCAAGTGCACTGAGAATGAATTTAGTTGCCTGTCTCTTCTCTCTTCCCAAAGTTTTGCAGACCTGCCACTTTAAAATTCATGGCTAAGAGATTCAAAACATGGGGAATATACCCTGAAGCTCTGGCTTTCAAAAAAAGAAGGAAGTAAATATTTTATAACCCATGAGCATTAACATTGAGTAGTGAGACTGGATGGCTGCCATGTTTCTTTATCAATATTAATGTCCTTGATATTTTACTATGAAAGCAACCCTCAGAGTTACCTTGGTTTAATTATTCTTCTTACGGACACGTTCCCTCCCACTTCCATTCAATACATCACCAGCTATCTTCTCAGCCATGAGCTGTGCCCATAGCTCCCTTCACTGTGCATTATGTTTAAACCTAGTTGACTTGGGCTTAAGGTCCCAGAAACATGTTTGCTGGACTCTGTGATACCAAGAGGTACTACCTGGTGTAGGAAAAGAGAAACAGCAATGGAATCGATTCTAGTGAGAATGGATAACACTTACCTATGAAATATTGTAAGAAGGTATTAAGTCATGAAGCTCAAATATGAGGCAAAAGGAGAAGGGGACAGCAGAGGAGGGGATGGTTAAATACAAAAGACCTGAATTTGGACAAATTACAGGAGGTGGGGGAGGACAGGGGTTTCTGGCATGCTGTGGTCCATGGAGTTGCAAAAAGTTGGGCATGACCCAGTGACTGAACAACAACATTAAGTCAAGAGCAATATAGACTATGCTGTTGTCACTATGACTTCTCCCTAGAGTTTTGATATTTTTCTAAAGCTAAAAGAAATATAAAACCTGAATAATCAATTTTGTCTCGTCAACCAACAGCATATCCCACTGGGATCATCGTCACTGAAACAGTGAAGTTCACAAAATGCAACACAACACATCAGGCACCTAAGGCAATTGTACTTTTTTATGTCCTAGTACAGGGGTCTCCAACAAAACTGGCCGGGGAATTCTGGGAATTGAAGTCTTCCAGGCTTAAACTTGCCAAGTTGGAGACTCCTGTCCTAGAGCCTCTATTTCTACAACATCTGCTCAAAGTTAAAATACTAGAAAAGGACATTAGCAGATAAGAACATGAACCAATATGAATTGGCCTTCATTGTTTTTCTTACCTAATGCTTATCAATAACACTTCTTTATCAATATCTCTTGGAAAACAGCTGTTTCCTCCCTACCAACTGCTTCAGATAACTTCTGAAGAATATCTTGCAGCTGAAGATACTTTCTGAATGACCCCCCCCCCCAAAAAAAAAAAATGCTTGCTTTGCAGGGGAAAAAAATATGGGAGAAAAGGGCTGTACCAGTTTAAATCTATAAAAAATATATAACTTGCTTACACCCTTAAATGTAATAAAAATATATATCTTTCACCCTTTCCCTCCCCCAAGTTAGAAGCAATGAAAAACTGTAGGAACTCTGAAGGAAAAGAAATCACAGAGATAAACAATTAAGATGTAGAAGTTAAATCCATTGTCAGCTTCTCTCCTAAATGGCAACTTAGTTTAGATGGGGCGACATGCAGGAAATACATATTTCAGCAAGTTTTCAAAGACTGCAAAACAACCCACCATAAACGGGCCTGGTAGATTCCTATTGCAGTATCCATAATTCTGCATTTATATCCAGAGGGCATGAAAGATACCAGACCAAATTTTATATTGTTCTTGCTGTTTTGATCTTCCCCATGATGCAAGTATAGTCAAAAGGACTGAAGGGAGTATGAGGAGATTTAGAGCATCCCTAAGTCTAAAAATAATTACAGCTACTCCTCAACTTACAGCTTCATTTAGTAATTGTTCAAGATTACAACAGGACTGGGAAAAGAGGCTTGGCAACTGGTTCGTATTTATGACGGTTGCAATGTCGCCTTTTCTGACCTTCATTGACCAACCATGTGACTAAATTAAAATAATGCAGGAATTCGCTTAACAACAGCGGCAAGAAAGGTCGTAAAATGGGGTGAAGTTCATTTAATAACTGTCTTGCTTTGCAGTGCAGATTTTGGGCTCAACTGTGGTCACAAGTCAAGGATCACCTGTAAATATGTTTTAGTTTTTTTGGCGATTTTAGAGTTTCTGTCCTTACCTTTTTGCTTCCCAAATATGGGAAAGTGAGCATGCAAAGCAGACATCATAACATGCCTGAAGAATATATAAGTAAATCAAATACCGTGGAGATTAGAGGGGATAATATACACTGCATGCACAGTAGCCATTGCAAACAGCTCATTCCCTCTCTAGAATAATTATAGACAGCTTTATTCATAAATAAGCCCTGCCGATCTGAAAGGAACATACTTTTAAATAAATGTTTATAAATTTCCACCCTTGTCGTGTATTACTTATCATTCAAAGGTACCTGGGCACACAATCGAATTCCAGAGAAGTGTTAAACTGGGGGGGGGGGGTGTTTCTAAAAATAATAACCTCATTGTATTTTTCTCTTACTTTAGAAAGACAAGAGAAGTAGGTCAGGGTGGAGGGCTTCGTGAAACGAAAGATAGAGATAAATAACGTAATTCCAACTCTCAGCTGATTCCCTCATCCTGGGGAGAATGTCAAAAGAATTATTATTCACCAAAGTATCTATCATTCTGACATCCTAATAATTTGGGAATATGGAACCAAGCAGCATTGTTGTAAAAAAAAAAATACCTTCATATAGGGATATCAGTGCATCATTTATTTTATGCTCTTTTTGAAAAAAAGAAAAAAGAAAGTTATTTTGACTCCTTTTATCTTTTCATTGGCTGTTTGGCTCTTTTATGTCTGAATCCCAAAAGGAAAAAAAAAAAGAATAGCAAAAACATTTCTACAGCATTACTTTAGAACAAGGACGGTTTCTCCCTGAGGTACCTGGGCATTGTAATACGTTAGATAAGAGGTGGGGCTGCTCCAGATGCCCTCCTTCTCCATGGTCACCCCAGGCCTTTGGGGCAACCTCCCATCTGAGATCTCTACTCATTTAGCCTTAACCGGGGGTCTTCCCCCAAGCATTGGGCTTGGATGGAGGTTGAGTTGGAGGCTGTTTGGCCTGTTGGCTGGAGGTGCCTTTACCTCTACCCCAAACTGGTTCTCCCCACAAAAAAGTAGCTTAGTTAAATATGCAATTTGAAAAAAATAACACATTAGTTTAGCTGTGGCATGACTCCATATTGCGGTTTTCTCCAGAAAAAGAAAGAGAAGTCATTGCTTTCCCCAAATATCTTCTTCACTAAGCTCCTTAACATTGCAAAAATTAGTCCGGAAAAAAATGTGCCTGTAAATTGGAATTTAGGTTTAGAGACTGGGAAAAAAACCTCACATTTCCAGATGTTTTCAATTGACAAGACTCATTATCTGGATTTAAGAGACATGAGATTCTGGTAACTGATACATTTCTGCCCAATAAGACTATGTTATACAGTTCATTTAAATCAGCCAAAATAGAGTGAAATTATGAATCCCACAATACGTATTACCTCAAATTAAAAAAACAAAACAAAACAGAAAATATCTTGGAACATTGACATAGCTAGAAAATCCAGCGCTAGAATAAAACTTTATGAAAATCCAGGGCTGGAATAAAACTTTATGATATGAAATAACACTTAAAACAAACAAATAAGCCTGAACCAAACCCCACCACCACATTTCACCTGCTAAAATAGCCCATTGGACCATCTCACTCTGCTGCATGTGTAAATTTAGCCAAAAAAGACAGGAAGGGGAAGAAAAAGCTTTTGCATTATTTAAAAAAGATCTGGAGGATTCTTATGGATACTTTCAATGGTTACGCTCATTTCTAGGTGGATTTCTCAAGAAAAAAGAACAACTTTTTTCCCTCCTGCAGAGGGAAAAAGTTAATAATGAAGCTCAAAGACGTCTTTGGCAGATGCAGTATACATTCCTGATGTTTACCCTTCAAAATAAATATGAATAAATATGAATACCCTTCAAAATAAATATTTTTTCACAAACTGCTCAGTTTGTAGGTTCTCCTTGCAGCCGCAGGATTGAATTCAGCTCCCAGCATTTCTGCTTACATGTCTTTACGGCTCAATTCTGCCTCTGTTTGCTAGGGAAATCATTCTGTAAACATTCTGAACAGTATCTAATAATTCAAGAAACTTTTATTCTGACTGGCAGTTTTTCCCAGGTTGGCCCTTGCTTTTCGTCTTCATTCTGGCTCCGGTTTAATTTATTTTAATCACTATAAAGCAGGTGGTTTCTTCTTTTTTTTTTTTAAGTTTTTTATTGTTTTTTGACATACAAACAAACAGACAAAACATAAAAACATCAGCTCCCCCATATTTATATACAAACAGTGAGTCGGTTGGTTCATCAGTTTTGTGCACTCCTCTCATAGTCACAATTACAATTACCTTGTATAATAACTCTTATTGTCAATACAAACTTATAAATCATAATATCACTATTAAAAAAAGAAATTTGACTAAACTTTTGTTCGATCATGCCTTTGTGAGATAACTATATTTTAAGTAATTTATTCTAAAACAAATCATATAATCGTGCCAATTCTATCCTAAATAAGAGAAAAAAAGGAAACAGAAAACTATTATATAAATATAATATCCAGTACCAAAAAAGAGAAAAGAAAAATAAAATCAATATTATTCCTTATTGTCTAACATTTCTATTTTTGTATTTCATCATTCAACCATTGATAGAAAAGATCCCAAACTATATAAAATTGTTTATCTTCTTGCTCTCTGATTTCAAAAGTCAATCTACTCATCTCAGCACATTCCAATATTTTCTTTATAACTTCTTCCTGCAATGGAATTTTCTCATTTTTCCAATTTTTTGCAAATACAATCCTAGCCGCAGTCAGTACATTTACAATCAAATATTTCAACTCTTTACTATAGACATCTGGTAAGATTCCCAATAAAAAAAGCTCCGGTTTCAAGTCTATGTGCTTCTTTGTCATTTTTTCCAACCACATGTGGTTTCTTCTTATGTTACTTTTATTTATTTACTTATTTGTATCCTACCTTTATGATTTTTACAAATAATTCAAGTAGCGAACATATCCAACACACTTTCTTCCTCCCATTTTCCCCATAACAACAACATTGTGAGATGGATTGGGCTAAGAGAGAGGGCTGGCCCAAAGACACCCATCTGACTTTCATAGTAACAGCAATAGCATTTAGATTTATATACTACTTCCCAGTGCTTTACAGCCCTCTCTCAGGGGTTTACAGAGTAAGCTTCTTACCCCCAACAATCTGGGTCCTCATTTTACCAATCTCGGAAGGATGGAAGGCTGAGTCAACCTTGAGTCTGGTGAGAATCGAACTGTTGACATTTGGC